TGGCCTCATTTTGATGTCACTTAGTACATTCAGCCCAAAAGTCTATAACAATTATGTCAGGGTTTGTTTGTGTGTGTGTCAGGGTTTGTATGGAAAAGAACGAATTTGGAAAATACCTCAGTAACTTCTTATATAAGACACTTAACCATATGACTTGATAATCCCATTTCTAAGTATAGACAAAGGAAAAATAAAAATGTCTACAAAGATTTGTACATAAATGTTTATAGCAGCTTTATAACAGCTACAAGCTGGCAACAATTCGTAAATAGCCTGAATGGTTAAACAAATTGTGGCACTTCCATACAATCAACACTACTTCCCATTAAAAAAGAACAAATTATTGATACACACAACAATAAGAATGCATTTCAAAAACTTGCTGAATGTTGGAAACTGGGCACATAGAGTGCATATTATATGATTTTATTTAGATGAAATTCTAGGAAAAGAAAAATCAATGTATGATGATAGAAATCAAAGTAATGACTGGAGTGGGGAGTGCAAGAGGGTAGGAGAATTTACTGCAAAATGGCAAAAGGGAGCTTTTGGGGGACAAATGTTCTATCTATTTATTAGGGTAGTGGTCACATGGTATGTCCATTTGTCAAGACCCATTAACTGGATACTTTGAATGTTACTATTTGTTTTATGTAAATTATACCTCAGTGAAGTTGATTACAAATCACAAAATAGAATCAAAGTTTTCAGATGTGGAATTTGTGGGCTTTGGCAACAACGAATCAACTGGGTCATATGTCAAGGATAGCACAGCCAAATACACCTTTTCTCTTTTTGCCCCCTAATTTAGTCAATCAGTTTGAAGTAGTGTTAACCATGGATGTGAAATAATCAGAGCCCATAAAGAACAATATGAATGGACTTTGCTGACGTGCAAAAAACTGAGTTGTTTTATATATATGAGAAAATTGGCAAAATCACAAAACAGTTATGCATATTGCATTGGCCATTTGATGTGGATAGTATAATCCCAGTTGTTTACTGTATTCTGAGAGGTACAGTGTTGAATCAGAATGCTCACCAATTACCAAGCCAGCCACGGGAGCTTCTGATGCAATTTCCCACCAAAGGATAACCAAGGAGATTCCGTTCTCCATACTGTTTGATCCCAGCCTGTTCTTACTGCTCTGTCTGAAGAGCTAGTGATAGGTTCTCAGAGCTGATAAGGTAACTTTATGTATCTTTTCCACAGCACCTTTCACCTGCTCAATGAATCCCCATGAAATCTTGTGCCAGGATAATGTGGCAGACAGAAATAATGACAGCAACAATTTAGATGAATGCAGGACATCTCTGGGGTGTTTTTCACTAACATCTCATTGTGAGATAGGTGTTATTATCATCTTCTAAATGAATTTCAATGATTCTCTAACAAGTGCAAAGTCACACATCTAATAATAATCAGGGTAAAGCATAAACCGACATCGTCATCTGTCTGCAGGTTTTGTGCTTAGCCCATCACACCACCCACACCTCACAGTAAACTACAAAATAAAAAGCAGATTCCTGCAAGCACCATATTTTAAAGGGTGTGGTGTATTTGTTGTGCTCACTCCAAGCACCAGAAGTTTACTGTGTCCTTGGGTCATGTAACTGCCCAGCAGATTCTTCTTGCCCACTGCCCAGTTAGAGCTGATTTATCCAGATGGGAATTACAGTAGAGAAAGTTTAATACATGTGGAGCTGGCTAAGTGGGAGACTGGAGTTTTATTATTACTCAAATCAGCCTCCCTAAAAATTCAGTGGCTAGGGTTTTTAAAAGATAGTTTGGCAGGCAGGGGGCTAGGGAATGGGGAATGCTGATAGGTTGGGTCAGGGATGGAATCATAGGGAGTCCAAGCTGTTCTCTTGCATTAAGTCAGTTCCTGGGTGGGGGCCACAAAACCAGATGAGCCAATTTACCAGTCTGGGTGGCACCAGCTGGTCTATCAGAATGCAGGTCCTCAAACATCAATCTTAGGTTTTCTAATAGTAAAGTTATCTATCAGAGCAATTGAGGAGGTTAGAAATCTTGTGGCCTCTGGTTGCATGACTCCATAATTCCTCATCTTGTGGCTAATTTTGTTAGTTGTGCAAAGGCAGTCTTGTCCCCAAACAAGGAGGGAGTTTGTTTTGGGGAAGGCTGTTGTCATCTTTGTTTCAAAATTAAACCATAAGCTAAACTCCTCTCAAAGTTAGTTCAGCCTATACCCGGGCATGAACAAGGGCAGCCTGGAGGTTAAACGTAAGATGGGGTTGGTTAGGACAGATTTCTTTTACTGTCATAATTTTCCTATGTCACATTTTTTTTAGCATCATAATTTTTGTAAAGGTGATTTCAGTAATATAAGTGGCTCTGATATATCTTTGTAATAATGTCTGCAGATTCCATTGATTCAGAAATTTAAGATAATAAGGTGCATTCAGCGAATAATATATCTATGCTTCAGAATGGACTGTGTCCATTTTACCAGTTAGTTTAAATACATGTAAACAAATTTAAATGCAATATAAAATGCACTCAAATGTAGATATAACTAGAATGTCATTCTGATGTTAATTATCAAACAACAAACAGTAGTTATGCCTGCTTAGATATTTTCAACACTATAGTTACTTTCCATATGTCATTATCAGTTCCCCTTCAGGGACAGTGTGGTTACAAATGATCATTTTGGTGCCTCATTAAAGTTACAGAATTTAACCATTTCATGCCCTCTTAAATAGACGTTATTTTTAAACTGTTTAATTCCTTCATTCTCCACTATTTTTCTTAAGATTTTTAGCTGGAAAATTAGCCTGAGGAGGTAATCCACAGTACAGAAAATAGATTTTAGGCCAAGAGATATTAGGCTTATGTAAACAGAGAATTTATAATGTGCTTAAATATCCAACTACACAGGAATGATTAAAAACCTTATAGTACATAGACACATGCATTTGTAAAGAAATATGAAATGTTTTATTAAAATTTTTAAGCAAGAAGAAAATTATATATTCTATATATAATCTGATGATCAATTGTAACTGTGTATAACATGGAAACAAAGTTATTCTTAGAAAAGATTTTTTAAAATAACCAAAATGTTAACTAAGGCTATGGGAATAAGCTTAATGATTTTTTCTTTATATATTTTTTCCATATTAAGCATGCTTTATTATTATATCTAGAAAGTTTCACTTTCATTTAAAAGAAATTCTGCCAGCCGTTTCATAATCATAATAGGTATTTGATTATGCTGTATGGTAACTTGTTGAAACCTAGAAACTCATTTTTTGTAAGGCAGATACTCTTACTTGAACTTTTTGAAAACTGATTCCCTTTTAATTATATCTATTCTTTCTAGTTTGAAGAACTTTTCTCCTTGGTAGAAACATAAAATGCAAATTGCTTTTATAAGTCCTTGTGGGACTTCTCATCTAGGATCCAGCCAATTCCACTCTCACTCACCCAAGTCTAGTTTGAGATCTTGATAGATCTTATCCAGACTGCCACAATAAGCTGTTACTTGTTCTCTTCCTGTCAAATGATTACATGCACAATGTCCAGATTAAGCATACATGCTCAGTAGTTACTTCCCGTTTACACAGTATAAAGTCCAAGCTTCTTAGTCTGCTTTCAAGGCCGTTTATAATGTGATATAGGCCTTTCCTGCTTTGCTCTCACAGATTTTATTTGTGGATGAACAAAATGTGCTCTGCTCTGGTCAGATCCTTGCTGATCTCTGGCATGCTATGGTTATCCCTCTGCATGGTGATTCACTTACAAGGAATGCCCTCCCCACTCAGCTGGTCCAATTAAATGCTTCCTTGGCTGTTAGTCTGAAGGATTTACACTCTCTCCTGAGCTCCTAGTGTAATACAGTGATTTCCCCTAAAGTATGCTTGCATTTGTTTGTGATATCTCTACCAGTATTACGTTGAACTGCTTTTTAAATCATGTAAGTTTGTTTAGCTCTGTTTCTTCTTCTTCTCAATCAGATTATACAGCAATTTGACACAGTGGATAACGGCACAGACTCCCAAGCCTCCTGCTTGGGTTGGAATCCTACCTCCCTCTCTTATGAGCTCTGTGACCTGGACGAGTTACTTCATTTCAGTGTGCCTCAGTTTCCTCATTTATATAACAAAATGGAGATAACATTGTCTATCTCATAGAATTAAAAGAACTAATATGTAAAGAACTTGGGACAATGCCTACGTACATTTAACATCAACTAAATATTAGCCGCCATAACTGTTATTAGAAGCTATTTTAGTGTAAGGATTATGTTTCATATTTCTTTATATCTTCCACAACATTTAGAAAATTTTTACTAGGGACTGATGCGTAAAGATTTATATATTTGTTGACTGTTTTATCAATAAGACTAATTTTTGTTAATAAGACTATCCCCATTTGGCAAATCTTGGGGACTTTATTAATACTCTGTGGCGTATCAACATAGTATAAAGCGCTGTACATACATTATTTTACGAAGTATTCACAGTAATTCTTTTCCCATATGGCTTTTATATGTGGTTTTTAAATTTTAACTTTAGATTATGTATGTGTATGTATGTGTGCAGGCAATTTAAAAAGCCAAGTAGTACTTTAAGGACATGAAACAGTAGTTCCCCAACCTAGCATCTTTCCATAAAGTAGAAATATTCAGTATTTTTAACTATATCTTTAGATATATACCTTAATATCTTTATTCTTCATGTCTTACTATTTCTTCATCAATTTAATGGTATTATCTGTTGACTTCCTGTTATGAAGATTATAATTTAACTCTCTTAACATTTCCAGTTCCCACATATACTTTCCTCTCTCCTTCATCCTTCCAGTTTAATTAATTATAGTTTGAAATTAGCATTGTATTTATCTTATTGGTACTATGTAAAAATTGTTAACAAATTAGCATATAGTGCATTATTCATTTCCTTTTTTGAAATCAAGTTCTTTATACTTCTTTTAGTTGGCAATTGCCTTATTCCGTTGTTTCTTCAGTTTTTTAAATACACCTTTTGCTAACTTTGCACAGAACCAGGTACTTCCTTGAAACGTGGTCAAAGACATTAGACAAACTATGAGTTCCGTTTTTTTCCTTCTTCTCTTCAGAGTGCAAACCTCTTGTAATTCTTCATTGTCTTTCACCAATCTGGACTTCTGTCTTCTTGGGACTTCCTGTTACTGTCATCCTGAGAATTACCTTACCACTTTTGTTATTATTGTTGGATCTCTGACTTCTTGAATTCTTGTCTTCCTTTTCTCATATTTCTCCTCATTTTGAAGGTGAGTGTCCTCTAATAGCTTCCTGGAAAAAAAGGAGCATGAGAGGTTAATTTTCTTTTTTAGATTTTTTAAATGACTTTAAATTCTGGGGTACATGTGCAAATCATGCAGGTTTGTTACAAAGGTATACACGTGCCGTGGTGGTTTGCTGCATCTAGCTCCCCATCATCTACGTTAGGTGTTAAAAGGCTTTATTCTGCCCACAAACTTGATTGATAGTTTTTCTAGGTTTTAAAATCTAAGTTGAAATAATTTTCCTTAGGATTTTGAAGGCATTTCTCCATTGACATCTAATTTTAGAATTACTTTCAGAATATTAATGTCATTCTGATTCTTGATTCTTTGTGTTTGATCCACTTTTATTCTGTTGAAAGTTATGGTTTTTTCTCTGTAAACTTGGGACTCTGAAATTTTATCACAATGTCCCCTGTGTTAGTCTTTTTCCATTCACTGTGCTGGACCATTCAGTCTAGAAATTTGTGTCTTCCAATTTTGGGAACTATTCATATATTATTCTTTTGATAATTTTTTCAGTATTCTCTTTTTAGAACTCTTATTAGGCAGATTATTAATCCTAGAACTCCTATTAGTTCTCTAAACTTTGTATCTTTTCTATTTTTCTTTCTCATCTTGTTATATTTTCTTAAAATTTCTCTTTATCATCTGCTGCTTCTATTGAAGTTTTATTATTGCTCTATTTGTAATTTCCATGAACTCTTACTTATTCTCTGAATATTTTTCACCAGCATTATTTACTCATTTAACATACATAGTATCTTTTTTTATATGTGATGATATTAATTATACAGGATTTTGTTTTGTTTTATTCATGGTTTATTTTCTTCTGTTTGCACTCTGTCTTCTGAGTTTCTTTTTGTCTGTATTTGTTAGTTTTGTTCTCTGTATTTCATGTTGGAGTCTTCCTCAATGTCTTATTATCCATGACTTTTCCTTTAATAGTTACAAATGAGACTCCAGAAAGCTAGTTGTAAACTGTGTGTGTTTCCGGGTTGGCTTAAGTGTAGGGTTATTGGATTGGGAACTTGAGTGTTGGAAACAACCCCATATGCTATCATTTGAAAGTACTTTCTCTTAGACTCATTTATTTCCCTAAAAAAATCCTCTGAAATCTCACCTGGAGTGGAACAGAGAGTATAAGCCTAGCTACCAACATTCTGGGATCTTAGTCTCACCAGGGAGTATGGGTCTAACCATTCAGTGTTTGCCTTTCCTACCGTTTTTCTTCAACTGTCTGGTATCCTAGAGTTGAAAACTACTCTGGTTTTGATTTTTCCATTTAATGCCCCAGCCTCCTCTCTGGGTAGGGGAGAATAGTCTTCTAAATGCTCTGCATAAAAGAAGGGTTCTTTGGGTCTGTTGACTTTATATAGACTTTCAACTGATCCTCCTATTTTCAGTTTAATTCCTCATCTCAAGAGGTTCTTGGTGATTCCAGTTTCTGAGCCTTTCTGAGGTTCTGCAGCATAAACAGACTGGCTGCGGGCAGGGAGCTTTTAGCTTTCAACATTCTGCTAAATCAGTAACCATTTAAACACCTGCCTGCATCTCCTATGCTGTTTATTTTTTTGTGTTTCATGCCTCTAAAAAATTCTTTTTAATTTTAGTTAAAATGACACTGTCATTTTAGTGACATTTTGAGAAAGAGTGAAAATAAATGTGAATAGTCACTTATCATTTTTCAATAGAAGTCACTGTATATATATATATATATATATATATACACACACACATATGCTACGTATATGTGTTACTGCTTAACAATTTCGTGAAATGCTCTCTATTAGCAACTTAAAAACAGAGACTCCTTTATCAGCCAATATTAATTTAGCATCTGGCTAGGAAAGTTGACAAAGGTGGATATGTCAAAATAGAGAATAGAGGCACATGTTGAAAAACCTTTGCCCCTGGTATAGAAATGCCTAGCAAATAAGACAAACTGTGAATGAGCTTTTTCCTCTTAAATGGCTTAAAGAGGGGACTCTTCTTAACCAAAATGCTACCTAAAATGCAACAAAGTACATCAACATTTGTCTTTTGCAAAGTCAATTAACTTGTAATTTATATTTTAAGAAATACTCAGATTTGACTTATGTTTCTTAATAAAATTCCTTGACAAAAAGTGAATTCAAGGCCCAGGGTTTGCTGGAGGTAAGAATCCACCTGATAGGACATAGGTTTAGACTAATTTTTAATCCCGAATTTAGCAACTGTTTATCATGCTTCTACTTTGTGCCAGGAACTAGGACCATTGGCCATTTGATAACATTGCTTCCCCATGGATAAAGTAGTGGGGTGTGGAGACCCGTAGGGAATTTTCTTTCTCTAGAGCAGCCAGTCCTGAAGGCTCACAGTTGGCTCAATGTATGCACAAAGCACTAATGGTGTAATGGTTTTGCTTCTAATTGAAGTGCTGTTTGACAAAGATGGTTTTCTCCATTTCAAATATGTTACTGGAGTCTAAGTTTCCAAAAGCTGCTCCCAAAATAAAAAAATTTCTGTGACGGTATCAACGTGTACTTAATGGACAAATCAGATTTTTGAGAAATGTCAGTGGTTTGAATCTAGCAGCTGAAATCTGAATATGTTTCAGTGTTTCTAAGTGAAGCCTTTTCTGCTGTGAAGGACCCACAAAGTCCAGTGTAACTTCAGGATGAGCGGATGTGAGGTGTGGAGGGTCACACTGACAGCCTGCACGCTGCCTCCAGAACGTGATGTGCATTGCTTTCTGGCTCCAGCCCTTCCACCTCAGCTGCTTTGCCCTTTACCTAAGATGTGATTCCTTTGAGTACCCACCTAACTCATTTTACTTCAGGATGCAGATGAACTATTGTGAGCTTCAAGAAATCTTCTGGAACCTTCCCACACACCTTGAACAATATTATATTACAACATTTAACAAAGATCTGTAATTATTTGTTTTTGCCACTAGACCATAACCTTTTAAGGACGAAGATTAGGAATGAGTCATATTATTTCTCCAGCAACTAATGTAGCGCATGACATTTAAGATAGAGTCAATAAACATGAATAAGTGGACAATGAATGACACTGCCAAGAACAGAGATTTAGTTTAGTTCCCTTTCCTTTAGCCAGCAATCTTTATCTGGGGGTTACGTATGTCACAGCCATCATCTCATGGGCTTATAATAAAACAAACAAAACAATAAAATAACATATCACTTAGCTATAAATGAATAGGGTCTGGGCGTGGCACTTAATATGTGCCATCATAATATTAAGTAATTGCAGGGCGGTACAAACAAACCATTCTACCAGGCACAGAGAAGAATGATGCAGAGCCTAAAACTAACATAAACTCAAGGGGCAGAAAACAAGACAAAAAATATGCAAGCCAGATAACAAACTACATGCCATTTACCAGATTATAGTTCATTTTCCATTTAAAATTTTCTAAAATAAATAGTTAAAAATACCAACCCAGCCTCACCAGTTCTGTGGTTTCTATTAGTAAATGAACACGCTATGCTTTTTCCACTCTGTCAATTTCAGATTATTTCTCTTCTTCCCACTCATAAAGTTTCCCAGCTTCTATGGAAATCATTCCATTAAGCAATATTACTGTTCAATGCCTTCTGCTTGCTGTTGGCTACTGACCTTTCTTCAACCCTGCTTTTGATTTATGAAAACTTTGGGATCCTGAGAGTCTTCCTGTCTGTCCAACATCCACCCATTTTCAGGATGACATCATATCCTTATTTGATACTCTGGTCACTTACTGCCTTAACTTACTTCCATGGACCCCCTCCACTTCAGCCAGTCATTCCCATAGACACACCCTGGAACATGTCATCTCCTGGAATTGTTCCAGTTTCAAAAACATTTTTTTTAGATGTCAGACTCTCTGAGCATAACCTTTAATTAAATTACTTTCAATCTATCATTCTTTGTCCTCATTGAGATCTTCCTTAGAATTCTTCCATAGAGTCTATGGAATTCTATGGATTCTATGGAATTCCTTAGGATTCTTCCATAGATTCTTTACTTTGTATCTTCCTCTCAGTTCCTGTCTGTCTTCATTTCCTCCTCTCCTGATTGACATTCTATGGCCCATCACTTCCTCATTCTTTCCAATGCCCTTAACTTTCCTATCTTGTTTTCCCATTGTACCTGCCTGGGAAAATACCAGGGATAGATGAACCCTACTGTTGCCCATTTCTAAATCTTCGGATGATCTGCTGGAGAAAATAAGACAACCAAATGGACTCTAAACCATCCTAACTGAACTTTGAACACAGCATATGTTTCTTCATCAGCTCTCTGCCCCATCCTCCCCCTCACTTATCTCACACCTTTTTCACTTTTCTCAAGCTTCCACCCTTCCTCTCAATACACCTTTCACTGAGCCTCCATAGATATTGCCGTCTAATTAGCAGATCTTTGTAAGGTGAACATCAATCTTCCTACAAACATACTCTTCAAGGTTAATTTCCCTGGAGTTTTAGGAGAAGGAAGGTTTTGCTTCTCAAGCTTCTGGAAGCTGTTTTTCATGCGTCTCCTAATCTTTCCAAACTCCACCAAAGAAAAGCCTCCCTTGTTGCTGGCTGCCTCCTGGAATTCCTGGGCATGGCCTCCTCCAAGTCCTGTGTGGGTTTCAGCAGAGGAGTGAATGTGAGGCAGGCCACACTATTTTTTTTAAAACTTCATACATTTATTCCTTGCAATGATATCAGGTAAAGCTATACTAATATATTAGATTTTTCTGAAGAGTTGGTGGTAGACATTCTATTGTATGAGGGAAATTAAATATAAAATAAAATAAAAACAATAACTAAAACACTTGGCTAAATATACTTGTAACCATAGTCTAAGAGAAAATAAGAAAGAAGTCAACTTATTCTCAAGAGGTACCCTCATGAGCAGATTCCATTTAATAGCATTGATCCCTTGTCTTACAGAGCTGCAGGTCAGTCCTACCTTTCGAGAGTTTCTTCAAGCCTTCGCACTGTGAAAATCTGTCCCAATTTAAGAATGCTCCACTAC